TATTGTTTTTTTTTTCGTATGTCATCGAGTCATCGTGTTCGAGATAGTTGTCATTTCGATATCAAACTCAGCTTAAAGGTTACTAATTCACAACATTAGATGTGACAAGCGGGTGGCAGCTTTCAAAATTCATTTCGGAAACGACATACGGAAAAAAACAAAGTCTGTCTGGTGACATAACCCTCTTTACCAGGTTTTTATTTACACATTTATATGCAGTATTATGTTATTGAAAGTAAAAATTCTATGTACAAAATTAAATTTATAAGTTGTTTTAAAGGCCTTCCGGTTTATATTCAAAGATTTTACCAATATTATGATAACCTGTATGCCAGTCATACATATATGCTGACAAATCTCTTTGACCACTTGGTGCTCTATTGGCGAAATACGTCGAGAAAAAAAACCTTTTTTTTTGTGTTTTCGTTGATGTGGGGAATAAACGTAATATAACTGTAACGTTACTTCCCTTGGATGATCATTTTATTTGTTATTTGCCTACTCTTAAAACAGCAAAAAATTATATACACGTGCAAAATATTTATACACAGACGTTATAAAACAGGAAACAACCCATAAAATTATTGTCTATCTATTTTCTAAAGTAAATGAATACATTTTATGCACAATCAAATAAAATAAATTTTACGGATTTTTGAAAGATTGAAAATAAATAGTAAGTATACGATAATTTTTTTCAGTGAAGTAATGAGTTCAAACACGTCCTGTTAACTTTAACAGCACCTCATCAGAAGTCAAAACAAATACTTATACTATGCTTTTCATTGTTTAATAAAAAAGTTTCCGCAAAAATCTCAAAATATCTTTTTTTTTGGCGATTCGTTTAACATCACGTAAGCATTAGCCTGTGGAAAAACAGTTTGTTGTTACTATGTTTCCATTTCCAAAAATACATTTCTACGCCTATCAATAACTGGAGCAAGTGAATAAATATTTGCAACTTTTTAAACGGCTTTCGTTTTAAACGGGCGAGTTTATTTTGTTTCAAAACTTACATCCTTAAGACCCGGTTTACACAAGCTGGCAAGCGTTAAAGTACCACGTGATCGACTCTACGCCAATCAGATGTCGCTTAACACCTCGTTAAATGCGTGCTTAACTTAGTATCAGGTAAAATATTATATAAATTGGTCCTTAGTTTTTTTTTAATGGCGTTTTAAGCTTTTTTCAATCGGGTTTACTGCAGTGAATAGTTTAAACAGTCACCAGATCAACGACCGGAATTTTGGAAAAAAAAGTCGTAATCCATTATTGTTTTTAGTGTTTTTGCGACTTTGAAAAATAATGTTGATGTATGTTATGAAAAGTAAATAATTTTGGTGAACTAAAAACATTGATATAACGATTTGAAAACATCAGCTAAACTTTATTTATTCGGTCTTTATGTTAAACAAGCTTTTATTGAAAAATGCAGTCTTAGATGCGATATTGCGTCTTTAAAAATTCAGTGAATAGATTTATTTTATCCATTCACGATGGCATGACTTCTGCATGATTTTATTACACATGTCAGAGTCACTGTTTTTAACCCAACTAAAAAGTTGTAACATTATAAAAAAAGTTATTAAATAAATATTAAACTGAAATATCTATATAATCTATCTTACTAATGGTCCAGTAGTTGGTGTATTGGAAAAAGAAAATTATGAATCGACGACATCAGATTCTTCAAATCAGAATGTAAAGCTTGAGTCCTCAAAACATTATTGTCAGACATATATATTATTGTATGGATTTTTGTGTGGATCTTTAATTAACTTTTTTTTTACTATTTACTGAAAAAAGTTTGTATGTTGAATATAAGATTCAACTACGATAGCCAAATAGGCAGTTATGCTGATGAAGTTTTGCAAGTGTCGTGCGCGTAGCGCACGTGTATCACCATTCTTTAAAACAGTAAAATTTTGAATTATTGATAATACTACTTCGAAATATCTCAGTATAATATAAATATAAATCTACCTATTTGCCATACTTAAAATAGGTATGTACAGTAAACCTACAAAATTTATGATGGTATGAGAATAAGTACAGTGGAATGTGTAGTAATTACGCTCAATAAAAGATAACGTGGCTTTCCACTCTCTCGGATAATGCTATTTTGAGTAGTTGTAGCGTCCTGAGAGAGATTTAATAGAAAGTCGAAACGTACCTATTGTCGGGAAAATGATCGGATTTTTTGTTTATTATGAGTCCCGAGTTTGCGTTGTGAACCGGTGTAACCATTTTTCCTCTCCTGTAAAGGATAATGAAGTAATTTAGGGAAAAAAGTGACCTTTCGCAGCTTTAGTATCGTAAAACGCAGAGAATTTATTGGTTTTTCGATTAACCATTCGCGTGTAGCAACTGGGTAAATATTTATTCGAACTGACGAATATCTTAACCAGGGCTGTTCCGGGCTCTTAAAAACATATACAAGCCAGATGCCGTGAAAGGGATGCCGGGCTTTTAACCAGTACGTATCTTGACAAAAGACGGTGGCATTCACCTACACTTGACTTCCAGGATTTTTCGGAAGGAGATAACTTTAAATCTTACAATGTATGGCCAGCCAGAGACAAATAGGGGGAAGTGTACCATCCTAAATCTTGCCAGGATTAGGGGTATACATAAACACAGAACTTTAAAATTCTTGGATATTCACCTGGGTCCACTTCGAAGAAGATGCACTCATTGAAATTCTGAAACGACGGTTCGCTGTGGGCATAGGAAGCCGAGTTCGACAGGTGTCAATAAAGCAACATCAACTTGACCACCACGGGGAAGGCTTCGTGCCCTGTTTGTTTAGACGGATGTGATTCGACGGTAGTTTAAAATTAGCTTCCCTTGGTAGTAACTACGACCTTTCTTCTTTATCTAATTCGGATACAAAGTGACGTATACCAAGTGTAAGCGCAATATTAATATTAATCGGCTTCTGAACAGACTGTTACGACCTAATGTTTGACATCTGTTGTGTTAGTTTTAGGAAATTCACACGGCATCTGACCGTATGTTACGGAACTTTTAAACTGTTTGTATTCCCACTGGTCGATTGTTTCGACCGGTTTATCATTAAATCGTGCGATTTCTGCTTTTCGAGATTTGCAATCAAGAGAAGACATTGTCCTTCTTTAATTACTTTTGTTTCATTTTACCGAAAAATCCGCGAACTGTAATAAAGTGGTTTAAAAGATTTCCTTCTATCTCATTTCTTGTTTCAGGGCCTATAAACCGGGACGTAATTCACTTGCGAAAAACGCGGAAAATTATATTTAAATAATACGAGTCTACGACACTGCCTATAATTCAGCAAAGTCGAGGCGACGAAACTGACGCCAGAATTTATTATGTTCCATATTTTAGTGCCTTTAAAACCGAATTCTTAACGCCGTGTGGTGGCTTCTCAATATATTTTTATTATTTTGTAAATGGTTCGCAGCGCGCTGTTTGATTAACCGATGTGTTACGACGCCGATCGGTAAAATTTGTAATTCTAAAAAACCGAATTCCTGTGTTAAAATTTATTCCCAATTAGTTAAATTTGCGAGGGGTGCGTTTGATTTCGTTCAGGTTTGTTGTGACGTAACATGATTTATTTTTATCTATCATGTAAACCAGATCTTACTTAATTTAAAATACACCATAACTATGTTGAAGGCTTAGGGCGGTATTATATATGGTAATTCGCTAGAATGTAATTTCATAAAGTGAATTGGAAGGGCTATGAAATTAAATTTTACGAAATTGTAAGGTAATCCTGTGGGAATTGTCCAGAGTTCCGCTTCCGAATAGTAAAGTAAACTGAAAGAATTCCAACCAACTCAAAGTCAATATTAGAAAAGTTGCACTATTTTTTTCTCTGGGTAGGGTTGGATTAAATAACTTAGGAAAAGTATTGGTTACGTGTTAACCCAGTCGTTCTATTGTCGTTTGTCAGTTTGAAAAATTACTTAAAAATTGAGTGACTTTTTTTTAATTATTATTAAGACGATCGAATGGTTTCGCGTTTTTTCTTCAAACTATTGCCCATTCTTAGAATTTAACATTACGTATCAAATTACTCATACCTACATCCAAATAGTACGTTAAGTTTTAGAAAAGCCCAGTGGATAATCGGCTTCCTGTTTTTTCTGAGCGCTGGTGGTCCGTCCTCCTTTAATTCGTTTAAAGACTTTAATATGTGTCCCTTTGGTGTCGAGTTTCTACCGCCTTTTTTATTGTTTGGTTTTACGTGGTAGAATTCTATTAAACATTCGTGTGCTTTGTTGGTTTTAGGTCAAAACACCCATTGTTAAGGCCATGTGAAGTGAATTTTCATGTTGGTTTAAACGATTTGTTCCGTGTGGGTATCTTAAGTCTACTAGTGTTACAGCAGAGAATTTAATGCGGCGGTACAACTGTCTCGGCGAAAATTATCGAATCTAAGCGTTTTTTCATGTTTGCCAAAAAGGGGAAGAGCACAATAAATTTTCGAGGGTCTTGAAGTAATAAATTTCCTGCAAGATGTAATTTCATACCAACACATGGTTCTAGCAAACTTAAATATAAATTAAGACCCGCATTATTGCCAACTAATTGTATCTAAATTAGTAACCGGATTCTCGTAGTATCCGAATAGCGCATATTTCTTGTTTCGCTAGTATCATTTTTCGAGGGTTGAAAATTCTTCCCCTTCACTAAAGAATTTCATAAATTTGTGGAATTGCTTGTGCAATATTACGCTACGGCTACTACACCAGTTATGCGTTTGGTAAAGATGGAATCGATTTAGGGCGATGGATTTTCGTGGTGTGTATTAGCTGGAATATCTGTCGAACGAACAATGTATGAATCGCCTTCGTTTTTTGGTTCCACGCTTTCAGTTCTTTTCCCCTTTTTTAAATAACACCGGCCATTTGATTAAGACCTTATGTGATCTAATTTATTAGGAAACCTTGAAAATGTTTCTGACGACAGTATCCAATCCTCATAAAAGTAATTCAATCACGAGAGGGGTGAAAAGTAATATCAATTTACGTTTGGGGGGCTTCATGTTGTTATTTTTCTCTAATTGTAGAAATACTAGTAATTTGATGATCGTGTTTGGTACAGGGTGATTTCGAAGCGAAAAGTGGTGAAAGACAACGACAATGAAATAAAGTAACTCAGTTAGTTTTCATAGTTTGATTCCTAATTTTTAGTACAAAACTAAGAGCTAATGTTTCACACATACGAGTTCATCTGACTTCCATTAACTTAATTATCATCGTTGTTACCCTTACAGCTGATTACATCAATTAAAATGTTTTTTTCTGTTTTTAGGTTGGTAAAAAGTGCTCCTATGTAGAAGCGTTGAAGGTCCCGACAACAATTCATGTCTACATTATCGAAAAAGTGTAAACTGTGAGTAAATGGAATATTTCCCGAACGTGTAATTCCCTGTCTCTTGGAATTTAAGCCTTGAATGCAGTAGGTAATTGTTTTTAGACAATGAATTTTTTGCAATGTATTTTGGCGATCCTTAAATAAAAACCTGCAATGTTTTTTCGATAAGTTCATCTGACCTGTGTTTATTTAAAAAATTCAATATTTCCAATGGTTTTTGCGTTGATGTTGTGGTGGGGGAAATTAATTTGAATACTTCAATTATAAAAAGACAAAAAAAAATTCTGTCAAGTACGCCAACTTGGTAATACCTTTGTTGTCATTCAGAAATCAGAAGATATACTTTCTGAATCTGCACTATTAATATTAAATTTTAGCTCACCTTGGATTTTTTTAAAGTTACGTCTAGATATTATAGACTAAATATGTTTGCAGATTCTCAGTGTACGTTAATTTTTTTTTGTGGTGTCCGTTGACGAAGGCAAACGTATGGCTGTTTTGTGTACATTGATAAATACTGTAGATTACTCTAGTCAAATGAAATAATAAAAATAAAATTTATTTATTCCACTGCTGCATAAACCCTAATGAACTTGATGTGATTATTATTGGATGAATTGGGGGATTTCAATGGTAAAGTGTGATAATACTATAATAGTCTATGGCACTAAAACAACAGTTGTTTAATATTACGTTTGCAGCTGCCAGTATTTGATGGGAGATGTTAAATTTTGTGATAGGAAATAATATACAATCCATCACGGGTAACTTGGTAACAAAAACACATTTATAATATACTTTCGAGGTATTGATGTGTGGTTTTTAAATCTGAACATACGGAGTAACTGACTTTCATATGTTCAGAGTTAAAAAATCTTCCAGTATAAGTACGATCACTTTGGCTGTTGCCAACCTTTTTCTTAAAACCATTTGAATATTTTATCAAATCAGAATGTATGTGGAAGTGTTTGGGAAGGATCAAATTATAAATAAGTGTGTTTTCAAATATGTTTTGTTTTAATAATTTGCGAAGAAGAATGCGGAAGCTTGTTACTTGCTTTGTCCTTGCTTGTGTGCCTACAAGCTTTTGGTAAGCTTCGTCTCCTAGCGCACGTTCAGTAGTAAATTAGTTTTCTGCACTTGTAATGAAAAAAAAAAAAACATGCCCAGTTTCTTTTTAACTCATCCAAGAATAAAATCTGTATGCAGTTCTCCAGTATTAGGGGTGTTATTTAAAATTTCTAGGCAACTGTACATAATTTGTAATTTGTTACATGAAATTTTTATAATGTTATTTATTTTGTGTCATTTGTGTAAAGATCGACATATTTCGAAAATACTACAATATGTGTTGCAAATAAAGCCAAGCAGAGAGGTCGCCATACACTAGGAGTACAAGTTTGATGACACGAATGGACGGGAGTGTTGGATGTGGTACCTGCGAAAAAATTTTTCGTCAAGTGTGATGTTACCAAGAATGTTCTATGGCTGGAGTCACATCCACCAAAAAAAAATCCTGCGTAAAAAATGATGTCTGTGGATAAGACAAATCAGTAAATAGTAAGATCACTCAGAGAAAGAGAAATAAATCCATGTCACATCTCAATCAATTTTTTTGCCTCACGTCACACGAATCCCGCAGAATCACTATGTGCATAAAAATTTCCTTCAATATCAATGTTTAAATTACAGAAAATTTAGAAATAAAAAAGGAGTTACAAAATGATTTTGTTTTTTGTCGACCTGTTTTTAATATTTTTTCAAGTCTCATATCTAAAATATTATTTTGACTGACAATTCGTAAATTTTGACATTTCGATCTGTTTTGGATTTATTTTAAAGGGGAACGTTGAACACCTTCCAAACTGCGAGGTGCGGTTGCGGCAGCCACGAGTAACTTGCTGCAAATCAAAGCGATTCTATAGATTCCGGGGCTGATATTACTGCCTTTAAACGTCAGAGTCGCTGAAGGTTAAATTGTGTTAATGGTCTTTGATTTTTAGAATCATTAATGCTGAGCTCTGTACTGTTAAGTAGAATTAATAGTTTAACAAAAATTGTGTGATTTCATCATGTTAGTAGTATTTTATTTTTTGTAGGGTTCCGAGTTTCGATAGTTTGGTTCTAATTTGAACTCGTAGAAAAAGTGTAGTATGTAACACGTTCATAAACTTCATTAGACGTTTTTTTAATACTCGCTCCGCTCCTGCTTAAATAACTCATGACTAAAAAGAAGTTTGTAAAACTTGTTGCATAATACACTATAATAATGTAAACAAATAAAATATATGTTGAAAATTCCCCAAGAACTAGTTAGTTAAATAAAAGTATTGGTTAAATTGACAAAAGTGCTTTGTGAAACGTTGGCAACTTGTGTCTTTATTTAAAGATAAGAAAAAAAAAACCAACAAATATCCTACAAGTACTGAGCACCGATGGTGTGTAATATGTATGTAATAAGGCAGATTAATCCCGTAAGTTCTGGTTTTTATTGGTCGTGTGTTGGTCACGTATAACAATGTTTTTGTGAATTATGTCTGTTAAGTGAAACATTGTTTAAACTTTATAAACTGATGTGTTTTATTAAATGAGAGTTATTTACAGCAGTATGAAAATCAATATAAAAGTAACAACTAAGAGTACCTAGAATATCACAAAACAAAATAAATGATACATGAGGTATAATGAAATGTGAGGAAAGTGAAAAAAGTGGAACATCATTCAGTGCTTGGAGCTGCTACCAAAATGGTGCCCTCCAATGGACACGCTGGAGTAGCTGTAGCCTCCGTGTCCACCGCCGATTCCTCCTCCAAATCCATGTCCCCCACCGATACCTCCTCCAAATCCATGTCCCCCACCGATACCACCGCCCAAACCTCCTCCGAATCCATGTCCCCCACCGATACCACCACCCAAACCTCCTCCGAATCCACCGCCAATTCCGCCTCCTAATCCTCCTCCGAATCCACCGCCGATTCCTCCAGCACCACCACCGCCTCCTCCTCCAACATTAACGATTTGTGGTACGGGTACGACGATGGTTTGTGGTACTCTAACTGGGACGGGTTGTGGAACGGCCACTGGGTAAGGCTGAGGCACTGGTACTTGTACAGGCACTTGAACTGGTACTTGGACTGGTACGCTCACTGGTACTGGTACGGGTCTGGGAACTGTAACTTGAACTGGTCTTGGTACGACGACTGGTTGTGGCACGGGGACGGGCACTGGTACTGCTCGTGGCACGTCGACAGGGTATGGTGCTGGCACTGGAACAGGAACTGTTCGGGTGACCGTAACGGGGTAGGGCTGGGGCACTGGGACTGGTACTGTTTGGCTGATGGTGTTGACGGTGGCACCGCCGCCTCCGCCGCCTCCACCGAGTCCTCCCCCGAGTCCTCCCCCGAGGCCTCCCCCGAGCCCTCCTCCGAGTCCTCCTCCGAGTCCACCTCCGAACCCACCGCCGAGCCCTCCGCCGGCGCCTCCACCGAAGCCTCCGCCGAATCCACCATGTCCGCCTCCTAGTGAGATGCCGCCTCCATGGCCGAAACTTTCAATGCCGCGTTTTTCCGTCTTCTTCGCCTCCTCGCAACGGATCAAACAGACCGCGGACAAAAGAAAGACTGCGACCTATGATATGGAAAATTGTTTGACGGTTAATTGTTGTACGGCACATATTTTGAAAGCGACTTACCAAAAAAGGCTTCATTTCTTGCTTGGTGGAGGAACACTGAATGATGATTTTTTCAGCGGGTTGCTTTATTTTTATACGGATTTCCCCACTCGATGTGAGATTCTCCCTGCAATAGACTTTCACCCGTATCGTATCCCGATGATCCCAAGCATTTGCACGCGGCTTCAAGCGTGGATAACTATCCGGTCATTTCTTGAATACATTAATTAGTGCACTAGACTGCAAAATTCGGTATTACATAAAAAGTAGAACTTCTCGGTTATATTTCATGCTAACTGCATGTATAAATTAATTGCTCGGGATAGGAAAAAATCATAATTCCCTAGTAGTCGATGTTAATTGAATATTCACGTGAAACTATAATTCTTATTTACAATGAGTGTTGCAAAGTCTGGAGAAATTGTGCAAGTGCAATTTGAAATGCTCCGGTTTATGTTGCGCAATTTATTTCTCTTGAGAGGTATGTATTAAATGTTAGTTATTTATGTCTTTGTAAAGATCTGGATGAAAAGAAAATCTTTTTAAAAAGGAAGCAGCACAAACTGGTTTCATGCATGTAATGTGAAATTTTATAAATTACATACATCACGTTCGCTGTCTGTAAAATGATCAATAGAGCAAAACGTTTTAAGTGCATGCTAAAAATGTTTCCCAATATTTCCTTCTTCATCGATGCTAACTACAGTGGGTCTTGACGTAAGGAAATTGTTTTAGTTTTATTGGCACGGTATTGCTACAATTCCTCTTTTCATTTCATTCTTAACAATTCCCAAAAGAATAATTGCCTCAGTACGCAGGATTTCGGGGTAAGAGAGACTCTCTTTGCTACATTTTTGTATCTCGAAAGCCACTTGCTCTGTTTTACGGCTTTAGAATGACACCTTCATTGGCAATAAAATTGTTCATTATTCTTTTTGTTTCAAGAGTTTCTGTTCGTGGTCGCAGTGCTGTTAAGAATGCGTATGAGAAAATCCAGTGTATAATTTTAAACCTCCCAAGGCGAGTAGTGACAGGGCCAGAGGCTTTAAAGGGTCAAAGTGTATCCACCGCTTCCGTAATGATTTTTTTTATTGCGACGTTTGTTTTACCGCCGTATTACCACCGCGAAAAACATTACGACCTAATAACACTGTTTTGCGGGCCGGCTTTTAATAAATTTAAATAATTATCCGAGTTTTTCGCTAGGTGTCGGACGATTAATCACCGGAATTACTGACTTTCATTAAATTTTGCTTGTTATCTCTTCAATTCTGTTGTTTTACGTAATTCTACCCGCGAGTCTACTTACAGTAATGCAAAAATAATTAGATTTCGTCGAGTCGGAGTTTCGAGTGCGGGGGGCGGCGTCGCGGTGGTCGTCTATAGAAATGACAATTTAATGAGCGACTCCATGATTAAGTACTGTTCACTCCGCCGATGGAAATGAAGAGTCGGTCTTGAAACGTGGAATTTACAAGTACAAATTATACGCTGGGGTTGTTGTTTGTTCGTGCGGGGATGACTTTTTGACGCCTCGACGACGATCTTTAATGACGGCCGTCAAATGCAGGAAATATTTTAATCCTGGGGGCGAGATGATGGCGACGACAATTAATTTACAATTTTAATTTGAAATTTCCAAGTTCGTCGAATGTCTCGGTGGGTTTCAGCCACAATTGCTGTTTTCATCAATAACTGCGTTTCATTGATCATAAACTGATTAGGGCGGTGATTCTGATTGATTTTATGAAATGTTTGCCGCTTCTGGCAAAAATTCCTGACGTTTGGTATCTTCCACATGTCACGATTTTGTACGCTCGAAAAAGTAACAAACGGTGCGAAATGTGGGCCATTTCGGACGTTAAATAATGAAACTGTTAACTTTTTTATCGTAATTGGCACAGACTGGGATCAGAATTGCATTAGTTATTTGGTTACTGATCTCGTATCTCTTGCGGAAATTATTCAGTTTGCTGTTGCAGTTTTTAATCTTCACCTGCAATAAGGAAAGTTAATTCTTAAATGGATTTCTTCATACTTGCAAAGAAATAATTAAGACGTAACTTTTATATTATGAAGCGTAAAGTTCTTTGAAATGTGCACATTTTTAATAATATTCCAAAGTGTATTACACGTTAAGATGGAGATAGTGATTACTGCAGTGTAGAAACTGCTAAGATAGAAATTTTATCGTGATACATAATTTAAGAAATTTTGGCAATCTTTATTTCTTTACTATGTTTGTTATTTAATTGTCATAGTGGTGGTGTCATATGAAGTCTTAATCTTTTACTGCATACATATGCCAAAAATATTCTTGAATAGTCTATAAAAGTGGAAAAGTGGAAGATAAATCAGTTCCGTTCAATTATTAACTATTATATTTGTATTTAATTTTTAAAATGATCACCAGGTACTTAGATTTTATATTTGTTCAAGTACAGACGTATTACAAAACGTTTCATTTGTAATAAATTCAACTTAATGAAACACTTTGGGAACTATGTATTTAAAATCAGTTTTTTACTTACTTTTCAGCAATGAAAGTTGAGAACTTTTATGTCATTATAAAAGTCATTTGTTATAAGAAGTACAATTACAATAGTTTGATTCTGAATATCTTGATAATGATTGTATAGTTTTAGAATATTGTATTTTTGGTTGCCTATTTCTTATAACCTTAATAGAACAGACAGATGAGTCTATTTTCTAGGTGCCCATTGCAGTCACATGTTCAACGGTTTAAAATTTATCCATTTCTTTTTTTTTTATTTCCCCGGGTCGCTGCAGGGAGTTACTGTTATATGGTCATTTAGAAAAATACCCAAATAATTTAATATTTGCTTAGTGCTTCACAGATTGTAGGATACGAAAATGTCGGTTCTCGTTATCATTTGTCTGTTGTTTGTTGTTAATATGATGGTGATTTTGTCATACAAATGATTTCCAATTACTGTGAAATTTTAGATGTACTTTAAAGTTGTTGTTAAGTGGTAAAATCCTACTTGTCTAATTCATCTTCGACAATAAAGTCATGATGTCGCCTTGAAATATTGTGTAACATATGTATGTATCTAACCGTAAGTGTGCAGTTGCTTATATTTTTTGTATTACGTATTTGTTATCCGAAAAAATTAATTTGCTCCACTTTAGGTTTTACAGTTTATCTCAAAGTTTAGTAAAAACCTTCCTCGACATTTTGCGAATGAATATTTTATTTATAGGTTACACAACATTAATTAAAATTTGTTTATTCATTGCCGCGATCAGAAAAAAAAATTAAATAAATATTTTATGAAGCATATGCGTTGAGTGAGATCTGGTGTTAATTATACCTCAGTAGTGTAGTATTTTTTTAGATTTTTTACATACGCTGTTTCAAAAAAACTAAGAATGAAGCTATTTATGTTGTATCTGAAAATGGCTTGTCTAATTTTCTTGAAATTGTAATATATTATGCCATATTATTTTTATTTCACATTTGACATGTTACAATTAATATAGATATATCTCCCTACCAACAGGTAATGTCATAATATTTTTTTTATACATTATGTCCTTCACACGTTTGCAGCGTGATGTACTCTTTAGCCCGTGGCTTGTTAATCTCGCCCTATTTTAAGCTTTGTGCATATGTGTTCTAAAAGCAGTGAAATAACTGCGAAAAACTAATTAGAGAGACATGACATAACGAATTTTTTGAAGTTTTAGCAGGAATTGTGAAATATTAAATAATTAATTTCGATATCCTACCAAGGAAACTGGGTGTTATTTCAAAAAAATAGGTCGAAGGTTATTTCGACAGAACTTCCCTCACCCCTAGAGTACAATAAAACATTCAGCTTTTTACGAAAAATTACAATTGATTTTGCGAATTTTATTTTTTTAATGAAAACTTCTATAAGTTAAAATAAAGATACGTTTGTAATGTTAAAGTAAATGTAAAGAAGCGTGCTACGCGTATATTTCAAATGAGTTTTTCCATTACAAAAGTTTGGGAAACGTCATCAACATTTTTGCAAGGACACGTATATCAATTTGGATCGATTCAGTGTAATACTAATAATAACAGTACTGCATTCTCAAATTTTCGGGAAAATGGAGTGTGAACCCTTCCTGATTTAAACAATAGAATAAGTTGATTCATTCACTAATTTTTTTGAGACATCCTGTATAAGCAGTTCTAATAAATATGAACATAGTGATAAATCACAAGTATAGACTAAAATTTTGAGATCCGTTTTTAGGGGGTCGCAAACGGATAAATTTTGATTAACGATTTACCACGTTTCCGATAATCTTAAAAGGTTTGCAAGGTTTCAGAGCATTCGGTTTTGCAATTTCGAAGTTAAATTGTAAAGTATTGTCATACAATTTTGAGTTTTTTTTTTTACAAAATCTGGATGCCTAGGGTAAAAGTTCAACAGGAATTCATAACGTACTATGTGGAAGTTATGTTATTTTATAAAATCATCGCATTGGTGGTGGGGATGATTAGACAAATTTTGCTCAGTGTTTTATCATCTACAAGATATTCCTAATATACATATACAATTTTACAACAATCGGACCGGTAGTTTAGAAGATTATCTGTATAATAAAAATCGACACATACACGGACAGACGATAGACGGCAGACAGATGGAACGAGACCTATGTTTTCGTATTCTAGGAATCATGAAAGGTCAAAACATAAAAATAACTAGCCGCCCTATGGACCGATTGCAATACTCCCTTAGCTTGCGCTGCTTGGGAAGTAAAATCTATTATTAATCTTTGTTGAAAAAGGAAATGCAGTGATGTATTATTTTCTACTTCTTTCGATAAAGCTGGGTTTGTTTGAATAGTTCATCACAATGCATGTTATAGGAACATAATGTTTAAAAATCAACTTAGGAGGGACTCAAAAGTGCAAGGCTATTGTAAAATTTTGATTTTAAAATTATCTTTTCATTTAATAACGTCCCTGTCTGGGAAATTAAAAATTAGCAACCGCACACTCTAGGGATTGGTCTGTTTAGTTGAAGAGAACTCGGTTTGAAGGACCACTTTATCCAAATTACTTGCATCATGCGTTCATTTGTAACTCATGGGCAGTTCCATTCTCTAGAACGTTGACGGGCCATCGGTCTGTCGTGCCCTTTACAGTCATCACCTTCATAAATAAAGGCATCCTAGTAAGTTTTTGAAAGGTCAATAAATAC